AGATATTTTCTGGGGCCCATGCTCTAGTTAGGCCTACCTGCTCCAGAAAATAAAAGCTACAGATGCAAATCATTGGGATTCCAAGGACATAGCTAACTGGACATGGTTTGTGACTATTTTAAGTCCATGTGCTTCCAAAGTATTGATTTTTTTCCCTGTCCTTACCTAATGTTAAAGTGTATTTATTCATTCACCTGCCTCTAGCTGTACATTATTAAAGGTAAAGTGGTTGTGAAACCACATGCATGCAATGCAGACTTCTAAGTAGCCATTTTCAACTCTTGGACAAGTAGTGATACTTTGTAGTTTGCCTCTGACAAGCTCCAGAGGCAGCTGAAGGCAGAGCTATCTTTGACCATCTGCAAGTTTTAAAGTGCTCTACCCACTTCATGCTGCCTGGCTTGCCAGAGCTGGGGTCACTCGGCTCTGGGACACTTGCGGATGGTGCTCCTGGAAGCTGTGCTCTGCAGTCCCCTGGGCCTCTCCTGCAGGTGCATTTGCTTTTTTAATTTGCCACTGTCTTTCTTCCTCTCTGTAGGCACTCACAAGCACAAGTTTCATTGCTTGTTACTGTATGTTGCTGATTCATACTCAGAGGAAAAAGTAATTTTATCTTCAACACCTCTTCCCTGTCACTTAAGGCATATGTTAATGAAAGATTTTGGCATCCACTCTTGTCTGTAGCTTTGAGGCCACAATATAGATTCATTATACATGAAGAGGCAACTGTTATTTTACTTCTATTTATACTTATAACTATATCAAAGCCATCTTGCAGGTACCTTTGTGCCTCTCAAATCCCAAGCCATATTCCAAGAAATGCTCAACATTTCATGCCTGAGTTGGCATTAATGTGGCATTAATGTACATACAGAGTTTTAAGTAAAGATGTTTTTACTCACATTTTATTGTTGACACCCTTGAATTCACATATTTTAGTTTATACTAGAACTGAAACCCTTTGAAGACATCATTTGTTAGGGCGTTTCTCCCCCTTGCAGTTGCAGACGTTTTTTCCTGTAAGTGAGGAGTATTGAAGTGATTGGTGCCGAGCCTTCTGGGAGGGAAGCCAAGAGCAAGGCTGAAGCCTGGAGGAGGTGGGGTGAGAGCAAAACCACACACCCAGAATGCTGTAAAAACGGATCAAAAGATTTCTGCCTTTGTCATTTCTCTTCATTCCTGTCCTTCTTGTCCCAGTTGGTAATTGTGGACAAGTACAATCCATTTGTTTCAGAAAACCATTGGATTTGAATCAGATGCCTTGAAGGCATCTGATCCAAACTCCTAACCATTAGTATAATGCTTTACTTGATTCAGCTTTCTCCTCCTGCATGTTTCTAAGCAGCATTTGAGTCTATCAACGAAAAGTATGTTGATGAGAATAGAGGTCTTGGACTCAGAGAGTTCTGGGTCCAAACTGTGCTCTGGTATTGACTTAGCAGCAATATCCTGGGCAATCTGCCCAACATTTCTAGAGCCACAGTCTAATTGGTTAAATTATAATAAAAATTCGTGGATGTTTGAGATATAAATGAAGGAATAATGTAGCACATAAGAGTGTACATAAAAAATTAGTGCTCAGGCCCTCCCTGGTGGCGCAGCGGGTTAAAGCACAGCACTGAGAATCTGAGGCCACTTCCGCATGAGTTCGATTCCCGCCTGCCTCCTGCCTGGGAGGAGACCACATGGCGAGCCAGACCTCTCCTGACCCGCCCGCTGCTCCCCTCAGCAGTGTACTTGGTCGATCTGCCTGTTCTGCTCCCCACTCTGTCTCTGGTGAAGCCTCTCACCGCCCCTGAGCCTCTGGCCTGTACCCCAGTTCTGTATGAATAAATAAATAAATCTTTAAAAAAAAAAAATTAGTGCTCAGAGCTAAATTAAGAGTAGCTAAGAGGTTGATAGGAACTTAGTACCAAGGCTTCCTGTCTGACTCCAGGGCGTTTTACTTTCTTACAAGGTCTCATAAAACCATTGAAAACATTTCTGTTGCTGAAGTACTCTGCATGCTGCCAGCAGATTTTAAATGCTGTTATTAATAACAATACCTCATATCTATTCAGAGCTTTAGAATTTACAACACACTTTTCACAAGTGTGGAAAATACCCAGCCAGTAGTCCTCTACGGATGACTAATAGTGGCAGGAAGCAGAATGAGCCTCTGCTCTGAAAGTCTATTAGTGATGCAAATGTGAAATTATCTGCACTTGTGAGGAGATAATAAACACTAAAACCAATTAGCAGTAACAATGCATGACATATTCAGGCTCTAGAACTTGGCTTTGATGAGTTGGAAAACCAAAGGAATTGAGAAACCACAGAGTTTGGGGGCAAGAATTTCAGTTACATTTAGTTAACAATTTAAATGGGTTTGAGGCCTAGGAGGGTGGTTCTCTGCATATGGGTGAATTTTCTTGTACAAACCAGAACATAACAATTTAGATTGCATAAGGTAGCACCGATGATGTGATCATAATCTAGACACAAGGCATATGGAACTGAGACAAACAATGCAAATAAGTTCTCAGAAGTCAACATTAACTGGGTGTTTCAATAAAACAAGTGTGTCATACTGAATGCAAAATTTTTAGTAATAGAAACTGTTACCTAGGCTTTCTTGAAATCTTCTGAAACAGTTCTTCATGTATGTGAGAATTTTTACAAAGGCTCAGAACTGAATTTTTAGAAATGGAGAAAAATGGAAGGTACATTTTTAATATAGTACATTTCATTGTTTCTATATTATAAAAAGATGAAGAAATATACTTTTTCTGTTAAAAAGAAAATGGTCTTATTGAAATTCAGTTCCCTCAGAAGATGAATTTTTAAATGTCAAACTCTGCCTATCTAACCGGTCCTTATGGATGTGAGGGGAAAAATTATAATTTCATAAAATTATCAAATATTTTAAACTAATACCCAAGCAGTTACATTCGTAATACTTCCTGATTTCTTAATATATCTATAGGCAATGTTGCCAAACAAGTGTTTCTCTTTTTTCCCCCCCTTTCTGCTCAACTCTACATTTTTGTCCAGCAGCAAATTCTAAGTATGAGGTGGTTTCAGTAGGCTGAGAGAGACTGACCAGAGAAGCAGAAGAAACTGGCAGATATGGCCCAACTGAGCAGCCACTGGAAGAGTGTCCACGCTAGACAGTACCCAAGAGATCCCAGTTTGTGTCTCAGAGTCCAAATTTGGTTGATATATTTTTGAAGTTTCTAAAGGTTAACTATATGCTGTAATTTATCATAGACACAAAGCCTGATTTTTACCGTGCCAGTTAAGAGGTTTGTTTGAATCTGCTATTTAGGACTGAGACAGTAGAATTTACATGTGTGAGAATGTGAGAATAATTTTACCTTCTGTTGTTTTTAAAACCACCTTGGGCCACGATTTTTAAATTGAGACACAAGAAGATCTGCTGGGGTTCCCATAGCAACATTAACTTATCTAACTGCCCTTGTATATATTACTTTCATTACTAGTGTGGCTTTTAAATGTACACTTTAATTCTGAAATAGAACTGAGTTGAGAGTCTCAGGCAAGTTTAGCTTTTACATTTACCAACTGATGCACATTTAAACAAACTCTGATAGTGTACTTCTGAAGAGTTAATATCAAGGAATTTTGTAAAAAATGTAAAATTTAATGTGGCCTTCCTTGCCCTGATCTCTGACCTTGTAGTCTCCATAAAAAGGGAAGGTTCTATGTCCCTGCATCACTTAATGATGGTTGGAGATGACTTAGAAAAAGACTTGTGTAGATACTTGAAAGGAAAAGACACAGGAGGGGAGACATGTGAAGGAGGATTTGCTTTCTTCTCAGTCTTGATCTTGCACCAGGGACTAGAGTAACATGGAAGAAATTCATGGGAAGGCTAACAATGGCAGCCTTTATCTTGATTTGTAATTTGATTTTGCTCCTTTCATTCCAGACTTGCCAGCTCACTTCTGCCCACTTCCTATGGTTCCCCACCAGAAGGTGCCTTAGACTTATGGCAAGGTTTTGGGCCTTAGCTGTCCTGCTGTGGACCAACCTTGTTTGGCTGGGCATTTACCCATGAGGGGCTACGTAACGGGGTGTTTCACTGGAAAACTATTTCCTTTCTCTTCTTCCTGCCCTTTGCATAATCATTCTATTAAGGATTTTTCACATTATGAATATGCTGTCATTAGGCAGCATATGGAAGGACCTCTTTAGAGTAGAGGTTTGGGGTCCTGGGATATCCCCAGTTTGCACACTAACAACCTCAATGAATTCCACTCTATAGATCATTACTCAATCTCTCTAAAAACATTTAAAACATGCCATGGCTAGGATAAAACAGAAAGAAACAAGCCTCAGATGGCTCCAGTCTTGAGACTAAAACCATCTTTTCATGCCCTTTTTTCAGGGCTAACTATGAGCTGACCCTTCACACCATGTTTTCCCTACTTTTCTTCCCATACCAAACACACTTCTCTTCTCCTCACATTCTGATAGTGTACATTCAAGGCCCGAGGCCTGCTTCCTCCCAGAACCCTGATTCTTCCCCATTCCTTCCAGAGTTGATCTTTTTCTCTTTATAACTGTTATTACTACTGCTTCTACAATAAGACATGTTGTTTGTGACTGGATAGCATACCTTCCCTCTTTTGTTAATTTTCCTTTGAGAACTCTCTCTTCGATACTTTCTGACAATTACCTACCTTGTCCTTCCATGACCCACAATGGACCAATCACATTCTTCCAGGAAGCTGAATTTTAAGTGAATTTAAACAGGAAAAAAACAATTGGAAATGAATTAGTCCAGTGGTGGTCCTTTCAAGAAATTGTCCATTTCTTTCAGATTTCTGTAGCTCATAATGAAAGTCCCTAGCTCATAAACTGTAAGTACTCACTCATACATTAATATCTAAGGATCATGTTTAGAGGTTTGGATGTGTATGTTTTGCTTTAACAACTACATTTTATTTATGCTGTCTGAGGACAGGTCTGGGTCTTTATTTTTGTAGAATTTCATGAATTTTGCACAAAGTACTCAGTGTTATATGACATGAAAAAAAAATTATCTTAGAAACTCCATTCTTAAATGTACAACATAAAAGCCAACTTATGTATCCTTTTTGAGGTAAGATTGTAACTAGAGCTTTAGTTGCCATAATCTGAATTATTTTTCCCTGGGTATAATAGCTGTCTTGAAGAGAACTTACAACAATTTGTACCTCTAATAGTCCGAATTTAATGTTAGCATGAGTCATACTTCCCCAATTTTAAGAATGGAAAGAGAAACTAAATTCTATTTCAGACATGAGCCTCTGAATTTAAAACAAAAAACAACACACAAAAAACTTTGGGGGTAAAACAGACAACAAAACCAAAAATAATATGCATTCCTCTTGATCTTATGACTTGTACACTCTTCCAGATCATTTACATGTGTTTAAAAGGCACCAAAGAGCTCACCTATGATAAACAGTAGGATATACAACTGCTCTCCTTTTCTTCAGAATGTCTTTTTAGAAATGAAGGATTTACAGAAATCAGAAATCTTTGAATAATGTAGTCCTCTGGTTTGCACTTTACCATGTCTTGCAATTCAGCCTGAGAAAGTAGTGTAAACACCAATCTGGAGCTTTTTTGAGTCAAATGTAATGTTGCCTGGAATTTGTCTTGAGCCCACGCGGTACATTTTCACTTGTTTTTCTCTATTAACTTGTGAGCAACTTTAGTGGTTTCTGGAATTTGCCTTGAACCCACACTCGGTGCATTTTCACTTGCTTTTTCCTATTAACTTGTAAGCGATGATCAACCAGATTTTGCTTCTCGTCTAACCCAGACATGCAGAACAGATTGTGGACTTCCCCTGTGAGATAAAAATGGCAATCAAATATATAATATGTGGCTGGAGCAAGAGGGGAAACATTCAGGAAAAACTGAATATCAATGCAATGACTGATCACCAAACTTTCACCTATTCCAAGAAATTTTCCCTAGAACAAATTGATAAAGGGGATATATAGAATCAAGTGGGTTTCTTCTTCAAACAAATAAACCAAACATAAACAAGTTAAAACAGCAGACATACATAGTACATAACATTATTGATTTTACAGCTTTCAATGTTGTGAAAGGTGCCCCATCTTTTAGTTTTTATTGATTTGCATGGACTGTAAATGGCACATTATAAAAGTACATAAGTTTAGAGAAAGTCCTTCAACACAGATTTCATTTTAAAAGTTGCTTTCTTCCTTTATAATGAGAAATCAACAGGAGATAAATAATTTTCTATGGACTCTTAAAATGAAATTCCTCCTTTGGCTATGGTAGGTCCTCAAATTTTTCAAATCTAGGCTAACCATACTTCCAAAATGGAACAGACTACACCTTCATTTGATGTGAGGATTAAACAAGTGATTCCTTAAAAGTAATTTTAACTGGAAAAAGATAAATGGCAAAAGACTATTTTTATGTAGAATAGCCATCAAAGTGTAAAGATATCCAATAGTTAATTAATTACTGAAGTCTAATTTTTAAAGCCTTTGAGTTTCTCCATGCAAACAATAACCTAAGAGACTTTTTACAGCTTATTACTTCTTTGTATAGCTTAGTATACCTTTTGTAAAGAAATATGCTCTGGTACCATCTCCTCGAACATAAAAATTTTCAGATAAACAATGCCCTAAAAAAGATAAGAGAAACTTAGTATTCCTTCAACAAAAATAAAAACTAGACATGAAATAGAAACAGAGCATTCCTTATAACATAGGAAAGTAAACTAAGCTGAATACTATTACCTCTCTTAAAACGAAGCTGAGTCTTGTCATATCTTCCATAGTCCCGAAATAATAGCATTCCTCCAGGTTTCAGTAACTTGGACAGTCGGTTTACAACACCTTGCATCCTTTGAAAATAAAGCAAGATATTCTATGGAAATCTTCTAATTTAACTTTGTTAAAGATAAAATAAGTAAATTTAAATATTTTAGCTCTCCATAATAATATAAATCTCAAACAAAAAAGCAACAAAAAACCAAACAATATTCTGTATGGAAAGAAAGGATATCAATTTTCTAATCAAAATGCCTAGAGTACCAAGAAAGCACCCACATGACCACTAGCAACTTCACAGAGTTTGATGTATGATACTTCACAGAGTTTGATGTATGATGTCAAGTTTAAATGCAAAACCTGACAGACATTTCCTGATATTCACAGCAAATTAAGGTAGTTTCAAGGTAGACAAAAACTAACGTCACTTCATTTTCTTTATCAGATAGAAAAAAATGCCCTGCCATCTGAAATTGTATACATTCAAACAAGGATCACTTTTCCCCCAAAACTAGCTATTTTTACTCCTGACTTCTTCATTTAGTTCAAAGGCGCCATCTTTCATCAAAGTATAGCACCTCAAAGGAAGTTTTGATACCGTTTCCTTTTATCCAGTATTCTCTCCACAACTGCCTGATCATCAAATTTTATTTCTTCTTCTTTTTTGTGACATCTTGCTATTTCTTCTCTCCTTTATTTTCCAACACTCTTTAGGCATGGAAACAGAACAACATTCTTTTCTCTTCTCCCCATCAATTCATTCTGATAAATTATAAGTGTTAAATTAATTTTTTAAAGTGATGGTTTGTCAAATCATCCATTTGCTCAAAATTTTTCATAAGTTTAATTCATGGGATAAAAATCTTAATTTCCTTTTGAACCCTTAAGATTTTCTACAGCCGGCCTCAATCACTCTATCCCACTACTTGCTAATCTGAAGCATATCTTCTAGCCAGATGTTACATGCTTGACTCTGAACAGTTGAGGCCTTTCTTTGTTCACGTGGTTTCCCCTCAAAGATTCTTTTCCTTACTCTGTCTGTTTAAATTCTATTCACATTCCACTCCTCAGCTCAATACTGGAAAGCCTTTACTTTCTTACACTGTTTATTCTACTCATCTGGCTTCCAATCAAGTATTACAACCTTTTCTAACAGTTCTTGATTTATTTTTTTTAGTCAAGTGTTTATGGCCTTTTGTGTGATTAAGGTCAGAGATGGATAGCAAGGATTTCAGATCTTCTGTAACTGCCCAATGACTGACACTGGCTGTCTCCAACAGCTCTGCTGTGAAGAACTCGCAGGATCCTTGGGATTAACAACCAGAGTACAGTCAGTGGTCAGTGTCTGTCCTGGGCAAAGAATGGTAAAGGGCAGCTTCTGTGATAAGATTTTGCCATCTCTGTTTTTACTAAGCTATTTTAAGCCTCTGAGCTTTCCTTATTTTAACGAGGGATTGGATCTATTAATCTGTAAATTCCTTCCAATTCAAACACTGTTCAGTACAATAATGGGGCAAAAGTCAGATTATGTCAGGTTATGAAGAAAGTAGATAATGAGAAAATGAAAGTAACTATGAAATCAAGACAGAACTGAAAGAGATGGCACATTACATAAAAAGCTCTTTTTAAAAAAGAAAACATAAGTACATTAAGAGGAAAAAGAGAAGTATTTTCCTTGTGAACTTTTATTATAGGTTATTTTTACATTGTACTTAAATCCTTAGACTTTAGCAATTAAAGAAGATAATATCTAAATCTGAATTGTTCACTTTGGGATAAAGGCTTTATGAACACAGGAAAATCTCTTTCTACAATTGTTAATAAAATAAGCATGGAATGAAATGAAAATGCAAAAAAACAAAGAATCAAACACTTCAAAATGTAGCTACTTTCTGTAAATTTTTCCTCCCAATTATTCTTTAATGTCTGAGGTTACAAGTAAAAGTAAGTGGTGGAAACCTTGTTTGATCATCCTGTCATGGCTCATAATGGAATGACAGAGTTAGTTCCTGAGGAAGACAGGTGGAAGTAGACAAGCCATGAGATGGACAAGACAAGTACAGAAGTCCAGGAGAACATCGCTTCTCTATCAAATTTGGGCCAACACTGTTATCCTTACCTGTCTTGATAGAGGCAGTGAAGAAGAAAAAGAAGAGTTAAAATGAATGGGACTGACTACATTTCTCTATGCTTACTGTGATAAGCATACTTTATTGTATTTCAGTGAAAAGAAGAATAATTAACTTTTTTTTTGTTTTGTTTTGTTTTTTAGGTAAATGGGTTTATTCCCGTTTAAGCTGGGACATCCCAGATTTAGGGTCTAGCTAAGTTGCTTGTCATTCATCTGTGCATGAATTTTACAAGATGGCAAAAGTCACTTTGTAAAAACTTTCCTGAGTCTACTAAATGAACTTAAATATACTGCCTTAACTTTTTCCACTTTGTTACCTTTATTTTACTCATAACCTTTTTTTTTTTAAAAGATCATTTATTTCCATGGAAGTAAGAAAGTGACAAATGACATTATCTGAATTTATTTTATAATAAATAAATAAACATATAGTATTATAAAAACAATCTTCTCAAGACATGCTTTCCTGTTCTTTAGTACTCAATTTAAATAACAAGAAAGTACAATACATAGCAGTTTTCAAATAGTCTTTTTGTGGTCTTATTTGGTATTTAAGCATTTTCTGTTATGGACATCAAATAGAAAATTTTGTTCTCTATACTTTTAACTATTCTTCCTTTAAATATGACAAAAAATGCACAGACAAAATCTTTCTACCAGATCCTAAATAATGCCAATAGTCTAAACAGATTAACAGAGAGGATTAGGTTATAGAAATTGGACTGAAAAAGCAGCTTCGTAACACCTGATCTTATCACCAGAAAAAATACGTCTCTCATTCAGATTTAATTGGGAATCTGATGTGTTTTTCCTTGAGTAATTAAAGTGCTCATCTCTAAATGAGAAATAAAAGGACTGTAAAAAGGGATCCCAGTGATCTTTTAATTGCAAAGAAACAAGTACAAGTAACTCAGCTTCTTAGGGAAAAGTTACACTCATAAAACAAAAAGTGGTTAATGCCAAATTTGTACATCTTACCCAATGGTCATGAAAACTCAATGTTAAGAAACTTTATGAAAGCACAACTCCTGTCACTTGCTATATATGAGGTGGCAAAATTTTAAGAGAGGCAATTATTTTAATTGTTGGTAGTATCTCTTATGTTTCTTCTCCAGAGATAAGTTATGTTTATTGTTTCAAAACATTGTGTAAGCAAAAAATTTAAATCATAAATACCTAAATGATATCAGGGGCCCCTCAGGTGGCGTGGGGGTTAAAAAGCACTATTGAGCTATCTGTAGCCATTGTATCATGAGTTGGATCTCTGACCAGGGAGCTGACCTATGTAAGCAGGATACCTCCCATCTCATCTGATGCTCTCCCCAGCAGTGCATTTCCATAGATCTGCCTGTTCTGCTCCTCACTTTGTCTCTGGTGATTCTTCTCACACATACCCTCCACCAACCCACACCTTTTGTCTGCACCCCAGTTCTTATATGCATAAATAAATAAATCTTAAAAAAAAAATGATTAGCACTAGGCCCACCTTAGATTCCTAAGGTCCAAGTTTAATTTGGCAAATCTTGAAAACTCTGAATTGCTTTATTTATTTTTTAAAAATATTTTACTCATTTATGCATACAGGTGCATAGACAGTGAGAGGATTCATCAGAGACTGAGTGGGGAGCAGAATAGACAGATTGAGGAAGTACACTACTGAAGGGAGCAGTGGGCAAGACAGTAAAGCTCTGCTGTGCAATGTGGATCACCTCCAGGGTCAGGGATCAAACTTGCACCAAAGCCACTGTGGCTAGATGGCCGTGCTGTGCTCTAACCTATTGTGCCACCAGGGAGGGCCCCCTTTATTACTATTATTTTTAAATCCCCCTTCCTACTCCCACTTCCACTAGTAGGCATTCTTCAAATAAATTTTTTAAACCCCACTGACAGACCTGTGTGAAGCCAAACAGATACAGTCCACTTCTCCAGGAACATTCAGTAAATGTTAAATCAAGGATGTTTGTTTCTGATCACCAAGTACAATTTCCTCCTAGGAGTCTGTTAGGTTGCTCTGGATTTGTAATTTCCTTGAAGCACTGTCACTTTTAATAGGTATGTGTCTTGCTAGAATAGACTCACTTCATTCTGACAGTGACAGAAAGCTCACTAATGAAGTAGTTTGACCAGTTTCTTTCTAACAGTCTGAAGAAAGGAAATGCTACATTTAAAAGGCTGCATATTATACATAATGTAGCTCACTAAGTAAAAAATTCAAGAATTGTCATTTTTGTTTTGATAGTTCTAAAAACCACTACTTATAAAGGAGCTTTACACGTTTGCTTTGCCCTTTCATCTTCATTTACCTGTCAGGATGAATAGAAGAGAGCACAAAGACAAGGAGAATGACATCCAGGATCCCATCTGGAAAAGGGTAGGGTAAGCCATCATCACAAATGTCGTGAACGAAGGCAAAGCACTGGGCTGCTCGGTAGGATGAGTGTGACTGTCATGATAAAAAAAAGCAGTTAGCAAACTTCTTGTATTTTTCTTAAAATAAAAAAATTCACACATTTTACTTCTCCCAATTGCCTTAACTTTAAATTTAAATGCATTTTATTTCCAATTATATTCTGTTAGCTTGTTTTAAGATGCCATAAAATATTGTCCAGATTTTAGAATTGATAACAAATATTCTTTGCACTCTTTAGTTCACTTTAATTGTGAAAGTGGAGTTATGACAAAATTTGAGTCAATAAGCAACATGTTACTTCAGAAATTCTCAGATGGTCCCTCAACTTTCTCCCTCTGCTTGTTCCATGCCTCCACAGGCTTAAAATATAAATATCCTATACTACACAGTCAACACCAGATAAAGGAGATGATTACAAAACTCTGTAAATAACTAAAAATCACTCCTTTTTTTTTTACTTTAAAACAGTCAAATTTATGATATGTGAGCTGTGTATATATGTCAACAGTGCAGTTGTTTTATAAATTCAATAGTCATACGCATAAATTTGCCTACAAAAACAATATTAGAGGGTTATATACCAAAATATTAACATTGACTTACCTTAGAACCCTAGCAAGTGTGATTAGGTAATTTTTATCATTTACTATAGCTTTTCAGAAAAAGAAAATGTCTGTTTTAGAAAACATCTAAATGACTATTTCCTTATATTATGGGGCATTTCATATTTGCAACATGCCTCCTCAGACATTTTTCTTCCCAAATTTTAAATTAATCAGGGCAACTATGTGCCCTGTGACTCTGTGTAAGGCTTTAGGACATACACACGAATACTACCTTGTACAAGCTATTTGCTTTTCTAGGCATACTTATTAGTCCCTCAACTCTATTTTAAATGTGAAATAACTTATATTGTTTTAGGATAGTACCTTATGCATGAATTGAATAAAGATGAGAGTTCTAGAAATTATAAAACTCAGTTAAAAGTCATAGATTAACATTTGATGTAGAAACATTTCCTAAAAAAAATGAACAGCAAATAAACTGTAATTTGCCAATAAATTACATGACTCTCTTTAAAGAAAATATAAGGTATACCTTGACTAGTTCCACAGCTCCAGAAGCAAAATCACAACAATAAAGAAAGAACTCTGAAGTATCTCTGTGAAAATGAAAGAAAGTATCAGACTACAGAAGGAGAGAAACTTCAGGTTTGGAGTTATTAACAATAAATACTTCTTTTTTTTTTTTTTAAAGATTTATTTATTTACTCATACATAACTGGGGTAGAGGCCAGAGATGCGGAAGGTGAGAGGATTCACCAGGGACAGAGTGGGGAGCAGAACAGGCAGATCGACGAAGTACACTGCTGAGGGGAGCAGTGGGCGGGTCAGGAGAGGTCTGCCAGCCATGTGGTCACCTCCGGGGCAGGCGGGGATCGAACTCACGCGGAAGTGGCTTTAGCTTCTCAGTGCTGTGCTTTAACCCGCTGCGCCACCAGGGAGGGCCAACAATAAATATTTCTTTAATAAAATTTTAGATGCTACTTGGCTTGGCCTTTCTTTATAATTCTGTTCTCTATATTAGTGTATGGGTGTCTTTATGTTTTCTGAACCAACATTGTCTCAGATTAAACATTAAGTAAATTTCAAAATCCTGCCTTGGTTTAAGGCTCTCCATTCCTTGGGCTGACCTGCCTTACATCCCATTATACTCTGAACATGGGAAATTGCTTAGGGAAATCTTTAGTATCGTCCCATTCTCTTTCTAACCCCCTCCTAGGCACTTTTCCTTCTTTGTCAGAATCTCCTGTAGCTCCTGTTAGTTTAGCCAAGTTCAACCTTTCCCTACAATTCCTCAGATCTTGTGTGCCTTGGTGCTTCATTCCCCCTCCTATATGTATATAACTTATTTGTCTCCTGGGCTCCTCATAGAGGCTCTGATGCCCTGATAGCATGCAAACACACACACATATATTAGTGAGCAGCATGTAAATAATTTCTAAAAAAGAATAAAAAACATCAATATGTCAAATCTTACTTACTTTTTCAAGTTACTCTGATACTTATTGAACTTTGTATGTACCAAGTATTAGAATATTAAATAGTAAATGAAATCACCTAAAATAATTTAAAATTAGACTATGGGTTTTGGAGTCAAACAGACCTATGTTTAAATACTGTATTTGCCACTAATTAACACTGTGAATTTGACTTAACTTCTCTAAGACTTAGTTGTGTTATTTACAAATAGGTAACATAAGGAGCCTTTTTTGTTGTAGGGGGTTAACCATATGAAAAACTTGACTAATTTTCATTGTTCTCCACTGAACATAGACAAATTCTGCTTAGCCTTTATCTGAAATTCAACTACAACAGCTGGACTACAGCCGTGTAATGGTATTAACTTTGAATTTTGTGGGTCAATATACTTCCTGTCCTCCCTCTTACGTTAGTATCAAATAACCCTAGCATCATGTTGCTAAGCAGCATATTTTATCACCGAAAGAGATTGGTATGTTGTTAAACAATAATTATAAGAATGGCCTGACTCATGGATTTTAAAATCTAGATGGGGATATGTTCAGTTTTATAGAACTGCCATAGAAGTCTTTCTAGAAGGTTGGAGGTAGGGGCAATGGGAAGAGGCGGCCCAATAGTCCATGGTAAAAGTGCTTTGGTAGTGGGTGTGGTATAGTGACATATATCTAGGGATACGTACATGCATTCCCCTAAATCATATACAGTGTTATAAACCAACATTATTTTAATTAAAAATATAAAGAAGTTGTCTTCTGGATAGGACAGGCATCCTAAGGTATAATTCTTAAGATTTTTGAAGAGTGGATTCATTGTTAAGTGAGACGAGGAAATGGAATTATGGTTTAGAAGTGGAAGTCACAAGCCAAGGATGAGAAGCAAAGTTGAACCAGGTAGCTTACAGCAGTATGTGACAGGATATGTATGCCTTGGAGGATACAATTATAATTTTTAATTTTACTCAGGAAACATTTGAGTCAAGGAGTACTTTTAAATAATATGCAATACAAGCACACATACCCAAAATCTCACCCAGAATCCCTTATACTTTAAAATGCTACTCACTGATGAATACTACACTTATATGTAGCTCATTCATTCTACAGCATTAGGGAGCTGCATGCAATTTAAGATCTATCCAGTAAAGTTAAAGTGTGTTGAACAGTATTTAGTTATAAAAAAAAAGTTAACCACAATTGAGTCAAAGTTGAAACCTGTACTACTTATGTTTCCTTACCTAGCCCATATTAAACAGTGATTTACCACAGTATATAACTCGTTTCCTAGTAAGTCTACATATTTGTGACTCCATAGTTTGCCGGTAGTCATGGTTTACAATATTGTTAATAAACACTCAGGTGCATACAACATTATGTGATGTGATGGCTAATGTGATGGCTACAGGCAAGGGCTCAAAACCACACTGCTTCAGGCTTCAGTCTTTGCTCTAAACTGAATTGTCCAGGCTAGTTGTTGTTACCTTATACAGTTACTTTATTTCTCTAACCCTGCTCCTTCATCTTTAGAATAGAAATAAACATGGCATTTAAGGTTGTTGTGAAGGGTGATTAGATTACTATAGGTCAAGTTTCTAGGGAGGAACCAACTTAAAGCAAGCACCTAATATGTGCTGAGACATTATTATGATTCTTGCTTTTGCTACTGCTATTATTACCATCATCATCACTATTAAAGGAAAATCTGTCTTTGCCTTCCAGAAACTTAAAAGCTTGAGAATTTATCACGGCTTGGTAAAAACTTTCATACAATGAAGTGTACGGCCTACATTTGGGCAGTGGTTATAAACACCCATAATATACAGAACAGGCTGGCAGCAAAAGAAAATCATGTACCACTTGCCATGTGTGCTACGAGGACAGCAGCATGAACTCTGAGACGGAATTCCCTCTGCATCAGCAGCCCACACTTAAGTCTTATGACCACCCATGACTTGCCAAAGCTTTTCTGTAAAATCAGCTGACTGGCTTGGCCCTTCTCCCAGCAAACAGGTGTAAATATCACTACTACCACCACACCACCAAGCATTCTCTTGGCAGAGTTTTTAAGAATTAAATGACCCCTGTAGTTATATGACCTCTTAATTCCTGAGGTCTAATTATGATAAAATACTCTGAAAATGTAAAACATTAATCCTATACTCTCCAAAAGTAACAAAACATAATTTCTTAGGTGGAGAAAAAAAGTTTAACCCTCCATTTGGAAGGCTAATCACTGTCTGCTTTTAAAAGATTTATTTATTTATGCATATGGAACTGGGGTACAGGCCAGAGGTACAGGGGTGGTGAGAGGATTCACCAGAGGCAGTGGGGAGCAGAACAGGCTAACTGATGAAGTACACTGCTGAGGGGAGCAGTGGGCAGGTCAGGAGAGGTCTGCAGCACCATGTGGCTCACCTCCGGGGTGGGGATAGAACTCATGCTGAAGTGCTTGAGCTTCTTAGTGCTGTGCTTTAATCCACTGCGCCACCAGGGAGGGCCACTGACTGCTTTTTAAAGATGCATTAATTATCTCTGGTTATTGAGCTACAATTACTTCTAAAATATGGATATGAGGCAAAAAAAAAAAAAAAAAAAAGACACTGTCCAGAAGAAAGTCAGAGAGTGGGGAGGCAAGAACTTTCAATTATTGCCTGGAAAGAGGTGAGGGGAAAATGCAACTACCAATGGTAATCTGAAGAATGAAAGGAACTAGAACAAAAGTTTTGTCAACAGAGATATTAATCTATCAACAGTACTGAGTTCTTTCTACCTATATTGCACTATTAGGTACCTGGAAAATCACATTAGAGTAAAATGTGTTCGCAAGGAATACATTGAAATACAAACAGTAGTTGGAGAGAACAGATATAAAGAAATGGCGTGCTAAATAATATTTTCAGGTGAATCATGAAGTAATACAATCAACTGCCAATGTAGTAGATTTATGTTTAAATTTGGAGACCACTGGGGTAGAGAAACCTGCTATGTGCTATAAAAGAACAAGGGATTTGGCTCAGAAACTGTAAAAAGAAAAAAATTAATAAATACAAAAAGAGAAAGGGCCTTCAGACTGCAAATATGTTACCATCACTTCTGCCTTGTCACTTTACCTGGTAACTTGATATTGGGGAGTGAGTTATTATTTATTATGTTAGGTTCATAGTCATATTGAATGTCTTGAATTTTTGGAGCTATATCATAAGCATTTAAAGATTAGGTGTCATGAAGTTGATTGGATTAAGTGTTAAGTGTTGAACAGAGGTGGAAGTTATGTGGAAATCTACTATATCATTCTTACTTTTCAAACTCTCTTACATTTTCACAATGAAAAGTTAAAAAATAGCATCACTAAATTAAAAAAAAAAAATTCCAAAGGGAAAAGGTTTAAAGGAATTAGAACAAAATTCTGTCAGGAACCATGTTAGGATGATGGGTGATTCCTTCTCCACCATTTCCTCAAAAGGAGATGTTCTGCAAAATACTTGTGTTGATTTTACAATGGAAAAGTAACATGAAAGGTATTGTGTAAAATTAAAAAAAAAAGTACTTCACAGATCAGCCGTAGGTAAAATTGTGTTGGAAAAATTTTGTAAGGTGTATCTCTTTATTACAGAGACACTAAAACATTTAAATGAGGTGGTGAATAGGGAACACAGGTGAGAAGATCATCTCTGTCCTCTATTTACTTTTGCTTTCTGGAGTTCTAGGGTTAGTAGCTGTTACCTTTAAACAATTTCAAGTCTAGAGACAATCACTGACATATGGAGGTTTACATAATGTGTGGCTTCAGATGTGATGACAAAATAAAATGAGGGTTAAAGTGTAAGCTTTAGATTCAATTCACTATGTGTAAAATGCCACCTATGTATCTTTGAGAAGCAAATAAATCTCTGAGAGTTTAGCAATTCACAGTTTAGTGGCAGGATCAAATCTCTTGTTCTTTTCTCATTCTGTCATTGACACAAACAAAAGCTTAAAAATTTATTTCAATCAATGGTATACAAATACTATATTCAGAGTAATTCTTAGTTAACATGAAATTAGACACTGAGGCTAAGATATTTCTTTTGCAATTTGCCTTAGTCATTGTTAACATGGGAGCCAGAACACTACTGGTATATGCATACAACATTTTCTGGAATTTCTCAACATCTTATAAATATGTAAAATTTGGCAGTAGGAGAAAAAGTCTAAAACTCACTGTAAAGTGTTCAGAATTGGAAAAACACTATTTCCAGCACCACAGCCAACCTAAACCAAAAGAACAAACAAATATGAAAATAAGATTGAATTTTCCTCACCGATGTCAGGTTTTTCATTAAAAAAATCCTAGAAGAAATTTATTGGATCTCTGGGTACATGAGAATTTTTCAAACTCAAAAGCAATAAAATAAATTATAAAAGTAACAATGAGAAATTTGACTATAGAAACATTTGTAAGTTTTATACACCAAAACCCAAAATAAATGACATTAAGAAGTAACCAACACACTGTAAAAAAAAAAAAAATCTGCAGTAAATATGAAAAAGGGCAGAACTCATTAAAAAAACATAAATAAGTAAAGGAAACAGAACACAAAAGCAGTACAAGCAAACCACCTGGAGAATAAATGTGACCTATTTAATAATAAAGAATTACATATTAAATCAAAGTATGATTTTTATATACCAAAGCAGAGAGCATTAAGAAAGAATACCTCAACCAATGAGGGTGTGATGTAATGGATACACATGGCTGTGTGTACCAAGAAATTGGTATAATTTCTTAGGCAGCAATTTGGCAATATATATTAAAAGTTTTTATAAATTATGAACTAGCATAGTTAAGCCACTCTAATAAAAGAAAATGCATTAAAGTCTGTACCCAAAGATGTTTGCTGCAGAAAACCTGAAAAAATATAAATGCCCAGTAGTATAAAAACAGGTAAGTAAAATTATAACATTACATATAGTTAAACATTTTAAAGCCATGAAAATGTTTATAAAGGACTTTTAAGAATAGCGAAAACTGCTGATGATAAATTGAAAGAAAGCAAAACCCCAAAATATAAGCACACAGTTAACACTCAATTACATAAAATAGTATAAACAAAAAGAGAAGTCAGTAAATTTTTTTTAAAGATTTATTTATTTATGCATACAAAACTGGGGTACAGGCCAGAGGTGTAGAGAGAGAGAGGATTCACCAGAGACAGAGTGGGGAGCAGAACATGCAGATCAGGGAAGTACACTGCTGAGGGGAGCAGCAGGCGGGTCAGGAGAGGTCTGCCGCACCATGTGGATCTCCTCCGGGGCAGACAGGATTCGAACTCATGTGGAAGTGGCTTAAGCTTCTTTGTGCTGTGCTTTAACCCGCTGCGCCACCAGGGAGGGCCTGGCTTTAGCTTCTTAGTGCTGTGGTTTAACCCACTGCACCACTAAGGAGGGCCAGAAGTCAGTAAAATTTTAACAGCGGTTAAATACCTTGTTTGTGAGATTGTACATAATTTTATTTCACTAAATTACTCTTTAGCAAATTTTCTGTAATCAATATCTACTACTAGAATAATAAGAAAGTTCATTTAAAATAAAAGAAACCATGGTCTATACCAGATTATAGCAAAGCATATATCCCACTTTCTATTTCACATAAAAAGAAGTGATAACAGAACCAAGTTAAAACTTCACTGGTATGGGCCCTCCCTGGTGGCGCAGCGGGTTAAAGCACAGCACTAAGAAGCTAAAGCCTGGGCCCTCCCTGGTGGTGCAGCGGGTTAAAGCACAGCACTAAGAAGCTAAAGCCACTTCCGCATGAATTCGATCCCCGCCTGCCCCAGAGGTGAC